CGATTGTCCATTCTTTAGAAAACGGGTTGAAGAACGACACTCAAATCAAAGAGAAAGAATGCATTTTTTTATTTTAGAAACCTCTCAAAGACTGAAATTTCTTAAAAAAAATGTTCAGCATTTGAAAAATTTTCAATTCAATTTTGATTATTTATTATCTACAGAATAAAATTTCACGAATTTTCAGAGTTTTTATGTTTACTAGTGAGAGTGATCTTACTGACATTCACTGATGAAACGGATGGTGGACGTCGCTCGATGGATGGAAACAGCTGAAAAATCTTTTATAATCTAAGTATAACTAAATGAAAAGGTTATTTCTGATTTCCGGGAGCTTTTCAAAACTCACTTTTGAAAGCAAGGCAGCGATCGGAGCACACCCTTCACTGTGTTGTTTGTGGTGAGAAAAGAGGGAATTGCATGTGTGATTTAAGACTGAAATTAATGAGTTGAAGAATTGGATTGGCTATGATAGCTGATTCTTTCATTATTCAATTGTGAATCAAAATTCCTTTCTGGTTTTGGTTTTAAAAACAACTTGCAAAGGAAGATGCCAGAGGAGGAGTCGAACCCCCGACCTCCTCGCCAACCGAGTGACTTGCCACTGAGCTATAGGCGCTTGTTGGGTTGGGGTGAAAAAGGCATAAGAAGAGAGGAAGAGGAACTTCTTTTAACCATTTTACCTGAAGGAAATCGTCTTGAGTGTGTTGATGAGCATGCTCACCAGTGACATTCCCGTTGGATCATCTGCTGGTTGAGGGGATCATATCGATGATACGCATCAACTAAAACACTGTTATTGTTCAGTGCTACTCATAGAACCAATTTTACAAATCAAGCCCCAGGTTTGGGTTTCTATGAAAGAGCCCTAGTTACATTAAATCGCCTAGGAAAGCTTTTGAGGAAGCTCAAGCTATTTGTTTTGAGTTTAAAGCCCAATCCAGGGCTAGGTTCCGGTATTTATTGATTACAAAACTGTTAACATGCATTAATCTATGGAAATTCATTCATTTTACTGCACTAAATTTTGATTTGACTAAATTGTTACCTCAAGTAAGCAGGATTCAATGAAAGCTTGAATCAAAGTCCCCGATCGAGCTCTTTGACGCTGATGCTCTCGGATCTGAAAAGTGATCGTTTTGAGTCACTTTTTGTTTGAGAAAAATTTCATTCACCTTTGTTTCCACTCAATTTGAGATAAATAAACACGTAACAAACGAGATTCACCGCTGGCATTTTGTACTGAATAACAGCCATCACCGTTTGGATAGTTGCCTTACAAATTGTGTATATATCTTTCCGATTTCACTTACCCCCAGTCGATTCTTGAGTTTGATGAGAGAACATCATTTGCGTCTCATCAAAATGCTTTCCACTTTGCGCCTTTTCACGAAAAAACAGAGTAGAATCAAAGGGAGAAGTGAGACAAGAATTGTGATTGGGGTTGTTCTTCTGAAAAAAGGCAATGGATTAAAGGTACAATATTTTGAATATTGTTTTGCTGTTTGCTCTCTTCTTTCTGCCTCTGCCTTCTTCCTCTTTCAAAGGAATTAGAAAGATTTAGAGTTCTAACTTCAAGGAGTTATGAGAAATCTTTTGTAAGAACTTGGAGACACTTTGTTTTTCCTCTACTTCAATCCTCTAGCGCTCCAAGCCCTCCTAGCGCTCCAAGCCCTCCTAGCGCCCAAGCCTCTAGCGCCCCAAGCCTCTAGCTCCAAGCCCTCTGGCGCTGCTTTAATCCCCTCCCATGGTTCAGTAGATCTGCCTGTAAAGCAGAAGTTCAGGGTTCAATCCCCATCTCCTCTTTCTTTGTTGATTGGTTTTGAAATCGAAAAGGTGAGGAGAGTCGTTTGTTCTTTCTTTCATGCTCAGCTAATTTTTAGACCTAGAGTTACAGTATTAAGTAATCATGACTTTGTGAATAAAACGAGCAATGGTTGTGCGATGAAAACCGCAAAACGATTGAGAGTGATCAAAGTGACAAAAACGAAAAGAGCCTGATCGGTGAAATCGAGTCCATTCTGACCTAGAAATCGTTAGTATCCCATAAAAAAACAATCCAAAAACGAACCGACAATAGAATTTTGTAGCCAATCGAGGAAAGATCCTTCTGGGACAAGGCCGAAAAGGCTTGGATAAACGATGAGCCATTGGAGAAGAAGATGTAAACAATCGGTGATCGTTAGACAGCAAACGATTTGATAGAATGGAGCCTGGAAAGAGTTTAGTGTTTAGATCGATATCCCTTCAATTGCTATGACTTTTCGGAAAACAAAAAACCTCTCTAAATTTCCGGCCATCCATAGAACAAAACAAAAGCAAAGAGTAGAGGCGGATATCGTTCCGATGACCATCAATGCCGAGTACACTATTTGCAAGATCTCTACATAAACTTGTCCGGGAGCCATTGCTGATTGCTGAAAGTGGTTTTTTGAGTACAAAATGAGGTTTCAAAAGGGTACAAATTTTGAAATTTCTACAGAAGCTGATTGAGAATTGAAAACTCAAACGACTCCTCGAAATACTTGACCAACAACTGTGGCTTAAATACCACCTAACCCAAATCAAATAAGCAAAAAAACATGTTTCCCAAATGTTTCAGACTTTCAACTTGTGAGCTCCTCGAAACCCCTATTTAGCTGCCTGCTGACACAAATTAGACAGACGTGTCGCCGGGAAAAAATCGGACCCCGAAAATTGATGATTATGGTCTCCTTGGTGAAAACGAACAATCATTCACACACAATTCAAACATTCTTATTTCATTTCCTTTCCAAGTAAACGGCAATGAATGGCACAAAAATTTACGCAATTAGGCGCCGACAGAAAGTCACGGGTGCGTTTTTTTTAAATTGGCTTCTGTGGATGGTTCAGAAAATGGAAATCGAAAAAGCCAATAATCCCCAAGATCAAAGGCCTTCTATGGAACTCTGTCTATGATCAGCTGTTACATGCGTATTTCAAACTCCTACTAAAATAATTTCATTTACTTTGAAAAAACTACCGAGAGAACACTTTGACAAAACACTCAAACATAATGCAAATTAAATTAATAATGAACCGAGAGAATAATGGATGAAAAGAGGGTCACCTCAGAATAGAAATGTGAGAACTACTCAACGAGATGAAGAAAAACACAAAAGTTAATTTGAAAATTTCACCCTATAAAAGAGAGCAAGCCCGATCACAATAACAGTTGATGAGAACCTAGAATTAACAGACAAATTTAATGATCCAATTTGTGTTTAAATCAATCGGAAATAACTAAACCAAAAATAATAAACATGAGCATAACTTAAAGAATGGATGTAACTCGGGACAAGTTGGGAAGAAGAACCGGTATACAAGGGAAAAACATTCAGAGAACAACTTGAAAATGGGGCAGGGAAATACAAGGTTGAAAGACGGCTTAGGATATTTCGCAAACAGATGAGCGACAATAAATTAACAACAACAACAACGAATAACAACTTGGAATTGGGAAAAAATATAATGCCGCCCTTAGAATCTTCCATGAGTCAGACGAGCGTTCAGAGTCTCAATTTGGTCCAATTCTGACACGATCTAAAGAAATAACAGTTACATAGATGATTATAACGAGTTCTACCTCAATAATGTTCTGCTTCTTCAATGTCAGAGTGATTAGTGCAGAGAAGAGTCTTGCAAGCATCCAAATCAGCTTGTCTAAATAAAAATATTTCTTTAATTCACCATCAAAACATACTTTCTGTTGTCTTCCAATGAGTGTGCTTCATCGATAAAACTTGTTCACCATTTTATCCGTCAAGTCGACAAAAGAAACGAAGAGCTTTCAAATTGGTTGACCAGATACGATCAGAACTAAAGTTAAAATTAGATAGGAGAGTTTCAAAGAAACAAACCGAAACTCTTCCGTGATAAACTTGAGAAAAATGCCAAGCGGCATCTTCATCTTTTTGAGGAGAAGCGGAAAGAGATCTGCTGACATGCGCCGATCTCGAGTTTTTTCCAACAACAAGAGCACAATGAACTCTGAATGCAATAGAATTAAGCAATTTAAAGAAAAGTTACCTTCGGGGAAATAATTTCCACCTTTGTACAACAAGGCCAAATCACCAATGCACGATAAAACATTTTGGAAGGCACAATCTTGTTGGCCATTGAACTCTAAACTTAAGAATTAAATATGCAATAATATACAAACTAACCTTGATCAATGATGTCATTCCAAACTCGGTGTATATCGTCTTCTTTATAGTAGGCAGCACATCGATATGCGGCTAGCATCACACGATGGAGTTGGAATGGTTGAACGGCATCGCTCACATAGGTCCTATAAAATGAAAATTTGAAAAATTCTTGAAAAGAATTACCTGTAGTACAAAAAAGTGATTTATCCAATTCCTTGACGGCTTGTCTGCATTGTGGTGTGGCGATGGATGCGAGAGCTTGCCTAAAGGGGAGTTCTTTAGTAGAATTTACAAATTATTCTACTCACCGTGCACTCAGCTGAACATTTGCGACGTCCAACTTATCGCGCATTTCTTGGATTTTTTCCTTGATTTTTGAATCAGTTGATGATTGGGCACACATAATCGCGTGAGACAAGTAAGATATTCGTTGATCCAACGTAATTTCTGGCCTGAAAAACTATAATAAATGGTTTAAAGTAACACACAAACATTGTTGTACAATCCGCGAGTCGCACCAATAACTTAGCCGCTTTGTCGAAAGTGTTTGATTTCTCATAGAAACTAAAGTGGAAAAGTTTAAAATAGTTTAAAATTGATGTTAACCGCCAAAGCAAGTCCAAATATTTATGCCCTCCACCACGACCGATCTCATGTTGAAGAAATTGTTCCACGAATTGCGACTTACTCTAAAATGAATCAGTTCAAAAATTTCTGTTATTAAAAACCTGAATGATCTTCTCTGCTTGATGATTCTGTAACATCCATCGAAACAACGCTGCATGTGCAAGTTCATCATCGGAAGCAAGTACGCATTTGCTGATTTGGTCTCGAATCGTTTGCTAAAGTTTTCTATTGAATCTCACTCAAAATATTTGTTAAAATAGCTTTTGGAAAAACTTGGCTTAAAGCTAACCGCATCCAGTTTTCCATCCACATCCTCTAACAATCGTCTGAAGACTGCGTAAGAGTTCTCTCGTCGATTTGATGCTTCGGCCATTTCCTTGTTTCCCTCAGCAACACCACCATTTCGATATGCGGCAATCGCCAATTGTTTTGGATCGTCCTTCTTTGCTCTCAACAAGCATAACTCAACAATTGCATCGTAGCTTTGCACTAAAATTTTGATGTTGAAGTACTATGCTCATAACTCACGTTGAGAAAGTTGTTGACTCACAACCGGTAGCGACACCTTGTTTATAGATTGTTTCAAGTAAAGCACGGCTGTGCGGACGATGTTTTGGGAGCTAAATCAAATTCACCTTCTCATTCTTCTCATAAACTTACTCCAATGTGAGTCCTTGCCGTAAAGCTCTATCCAACATTTCCGTCGCATTTGTGATTAGTGCATCCTCTTTGCTAAATTGACTTATTAACCACTGAGTTTATAATTTAAACCTGTATAAAGTTGGGCAAACATTGCGTAATCTATCCGAGAGGTCGCGGGTTCCCGCTTCGTCACCCAGGAAATACCTGAAAGTCATGAAATGTGAAATAAAACTAGCAATACACTAACTTTATCAATCCTTTGATCAAATCGTTATTTAAGTTTGAATCTCCGGTCACCAAATCGGACAAACGGCGGCCAGATAAAAGCATCAGGCTCTAAAAATTTATAATTATATTATAAGCATATTCAAAAGCAATTTATAAATTCGTACGTTTGAATCTACACTGGCTGAGACTTGATGCATTCCGTACTCGACAGCAACTGCCCACAATGCCAACGTTTCCAGCGTGAGAATGATGAGTGCATGCAAGGCGAGGATTGAAGAACGTTCGCGGGCATATGCTTCGGCTAAAATGAATAGCAAATGAATGTAAGTTTATCACAAAAACTCACCACTAAACTTTGCGTTGAGCGATGTATAGTCGGAGGCTTGTGGTGGCAGTTGTCGAGGGATTAGATTATTGTCATCGATTGCAGCCAAAAAGAGACGAAGTTGATGAGATAGCCAATTCAACGATGCTTCCGAAACCAGTGGATGTAACTAGATAGCAAACTATAGATACTTAACCGAAAAGATTAAACTATACCCGTCCATCGTTCACCAACACAATGGGCTGACTCCAAAGTGGAGCAACAAGTCTTGCAAAATATGCATAGAGGGCATCATGCCTCTTTGAAGGTCTAAACGTAATAAAGTGTTGAATGATCAATTCGTAAAATTGCCTGAATTGGTAGAAGGAATTCCCATGAGTGAATGAGTAATCGTGCGTTCCTATCGGACTGTGACCATTCAAATTCATCGGACTGGCCATGGTTCGTTCGTGAAACGGGGTTGATGAACGCAATGGAGCTAGAAAGCATTAAACATTATTCGGCCTAAATGCAATCAGCTCCTTATCCTATGTGACTAATCTCTAAATCCCAGCTACTTACATCGCATTCTGGCATTCCAGTCTCGAAAAGAGTCATTCGCGTCATTCCAATCTCTCACTTGATCCACATCAACCATTTCGGGCTCATCTTTGAGCGAGTAGAAAAGTCTCAATGCCTAAAAAGAATACTCAATTTTTAGTATTTTCATATCACAAACTTTATCATGATGTTGTTGATCAACCGGTTTCTCAGATGAAAGAAGCATCAATGCAAGCACCAACGCATTCACTGGACCCATTTCCTTCAACAAAACTTCGATTTCGCTGCCTTCAAACCCATGCTCAGTTAGTGCCTCACGTAATGCAAGGACTGGGGGCCTTTGTTGGTAGAGACTCAAACCCCTGAAAAAGAAATATCATGAAAGCAAAACTTAAACATACCTCACTAGTGAAGATTGTAATGACTTCGGGTGCGTTTGCGTGCATTCGATAGAATGGATGTGTTTGAGCAGGCGGAATGAGGTCGCCCATTGGAGCTTCTGACGAACACAACTAGATCCAAAATATTCATTTATTGTTTTGTAACAGCTTACCGGCTTTGATTGAACGTGTATGGCCCAAACAGGTCCATTCAGCATGAATTCACTCTAAACTTTCTTTTACATGGATAAACTATTTTGAACATACAATGGTTTCAACAAAGCTTCTACTAGCCGGATGGTACAAATCCGAGATTGCAAACAGCATGAACCGTCCTTGAGGGTGAGTGGCAAGAATGCAAGTGGCTAAATTTGTTGCTTTAAAGTAAAGAATACAAGCTCACAATTGCTCGCTTGAGACATGTAAGCACCATCAGCGGGATCACGATACGTTGAAGTAGGACAAAGTCCAGGAGCAAATCGAATATGGCAGATTCGGAGACAAATCGGGCGTGCTTCCATTTGAGACATAGACTAAATTGGGAACCATTAAAAGTTATTGATATGACACTCACCAAATGTGCAACATACTGCCCTTGTGGTGGCTGTGCTTGTTTAGGCAAAACCGAAAAATACAGCCGAACACCTCGAGCCGTTACAGCAAGCTAAAGAAGTCTGACTTACAAATAGTGAAATAACCACTTACCAAGTTCAATTGATGGGAATTTTCCGCATATAATGGAATAATCCGAATAATATTTGAGAACATGCTCGGATCATGCTGTCCACCAGACATCGCTGAGGCTTCGTGCTAAAAAACTTTTGCTTTGAAAAGGAAAAACCCAACAATAATTTGTCCACTTGTGAGATTGGTGATTTTTGTGCATGCATTTCCTTTCACGCCAAGATCATAAACCTGAATATAAAATTTACGTGGATACGAAAGAACACTACCTGAAGAGAGCTTCTTTTCGTGAGCGCAAACAAAAGATGACGAGAATTGTCGACAACAACTTGAAGAATTTCTTCTAAAACAACTTTTGTGGGAAAACAAAGCAAATCCTACCAGTGACGGGAGAAAGGAAAGGGATAAACGATTGCAATAGATTAGTGGACCGATTTACTTTCTTACAATGTCGCCTGAACCATCCATTATCCTAAACAATGATTTACATAGTTTAACATCAGAGAACTTACGTAATATTCAAGTTCAAAAAAGATTTTCATTCGCTGTGAAAAAGATTCTTCCCGCAGCCGTAGACACAATATCATTCACAAGCGCATTTTCCACGTCAACCTAAAATAAGAAACGAGTTTTGCATTATGAAGAATCAATACAATTGCAATCGATAAAAAGCTTACTTTGAACAAGGTTTCAGGGATGATCGAGACTTCGCGTCCTGTAACAGTCACCGCCAAAAAGTTGGACATCAAGAACCGTCGCTACTACAAGCACCCAATGAACATGCGCCTAAATGTCTTTTTCTACAAATAAACTCCAAAAGAACAACCTGAAAGACGCCAGTTTTAGGCCTGGCTAGTGAAATCTTCACAATGGTGTTCTGAATTCCGTCGAAGTAAGCAAGATCATCACTAAATACCAATAATTCAGTCTAAACCCGTCTGCTTACTTTGTTTCGTAGTTCCACATAAAAATATCGCAATCGATCGTCACCCAGGCATGGGCAATTTCAGGAAATAGTCCCATCTCAAAGCGACTTCGTGTTTCTAAATATGAATATGATTTAGTAATCTTTTGATAACTACACTCACGCTGCATTTGTTGTTGTAGTTCCAAAGGGATCGGTACTGTCTTCAAAAGTTCGAATTCCCGTCCACGTGCATAGTAACGATCACCAAGTCCCGACACCCCAACAGTTCCTAAAACAGATTTTTCAGTCTTTAAAGTCAGTTTGATAAGCGATACTGGAAAAGGTTATCAGATAAGTCAAAAGTCTAACCAACCGCTTTGTGTCATCCTTGTTCCCAAATCCGCTGTTTCTCGCAAGTGTTCCAATTGGAGGGAAACTGAGGGAATCGCCGATGATGCCATCTCTCCATAGTCGTCGTTCGGAGCGTCGATGAGACCCGATTCCGAGACATTATTACGAGTCTGAGAAGAAGTTATCGTTTGCTTTGCAAATCCTTGAAAGCCAAAAGAAACTAAAACCGCAAAAATGTCAAAACTTTTCCCCACCCACAAAACCCTCAAGAGGAGCGCCAATAGCCCTGAATGACTCAATGTGGGAAAAGTTATGATTTCTTCCCATTTTTGGGATCAAATTTATCGCTCCAAAATTTTAGGTATCTAGTGGCTTGACTGCCACATTATGGAAAAGAAGTTATTTGAAAATATTTATTGTATAGCAACAATTTTAAGGGAAGCAAATCAAAGTAAAAAGAATATGCCAAGGTAACAAAAACAACGACAAATCAACAATGCTCACGGGGCACACAAATTACTCGTAGCAAAAAGAAAATCAACAAGAGACTCAAAGTGGGAAAATTACTAAAAGATTGATATCAGAAACACAAATCAATGCATTGTGTATTTGTTTTCCTCGTGAAGCTCGCACACTTCTCCCTTGAAGTCGACTTTGACCGTCATGTCGAGATCCCGTTCATTCTTTGCATTTGGAGCCATCGTGAAATGTCCCATGATTTCCTCACCTCGCTTCACTGTCATTGCCTCGTAGAGATAGAAGACGGTTTGCTTCCAATGAGTGTATTGAACATCGGGCCCTGTGCTGAATCCAGTCTTCTTGTGACATTTGCTGAATTCGATGGTGAAGAACGTGACGAGAGCTTGCACATAGTCGTTTCTAGAGACCCGAAGAATGAAGTCACTGTTCCATGAAAGGTCCTCAATCTTGACCGTGTACAAGTCGATCTCCTTGAGCATGTAGTTGTTGGCAACCACCTGAAGGAATATACATTATATTAAGTCGATAACTTTATCAGACAACAAACAGCAGCAACACTCACTTGAGCATTGTCCACAACATCAACTAATGGTTCGCGAATGGCCACCTTTCTGATCGCTGACATGTTGAAGCCGTAAACGCTAAAACAAAAGCAATCATACAAGTTGCAAATGTTAGGACAACAAAATTTAAGATTCTCACCTGTCCCACCAGTGAATTTTGTCCTCTTTGTACTGACGATCCTCAATAGCTGTGATGTAAAGCTTTGCCTTGTCCGGGAAGATCATTCCATCAGGCGCCAACCAAGTGTCGCGAGCCTTCAACACTGTGTTCAACATCGACTCGTAGAAGAGACAATAGCCCATCCACTAAAGATAAATGTTGTTCGATAATAGCCAGCTTAAATATTACCTCCGAAATGATGATGTCGACTTTCTGATAGCCACCGGGAAGAGCCGTGATGTCTTCGAGCTTCGATTGAATCACCTCTACAATGTGATCCAAGCCATTATCCTTGACGATCTGTTGTGATTGCTTGGCCATCGCTGAGTACTCCACAGCGAACACTTTCTTCGCGCCAGCCTTTGCCGCAAACATCGAGAGAATTCCCTACAAAGAACACAATAAGCTTTATAAAGTATAAAAGGATTTACCTAATTTTATCAATTAAACTTATCCTTGATTAATAACGATGATCCCAATAAACGTTTTAATTGTGAAAGTGCAACTGCGGTTAAGGTTAACGTTTAAACAGAGAATTAGCTGTCAACCCTATACAGTAAAATCATAAAGTTAAACAGAGAACTTTTAAATAACTACGAGTTCCAACGTTTATCTCAAACAGAAAAAACAACCAACCGTTCCACTCCCAACGTCCATGACGACTTTATCCTTGAAGAGATGCTTGTTGTGGTAGATCGAATTGCGGTAGGTTATCGTGCGCACCTCGTCCTTCAACATTTCCTCGTGGATCCCAAAATGCGCGTACGAGTCGAAGTAGTAATCCTTTGACGTCATCTCTTCGGGCTTTGGCCTCGCCGCATCTTGAGTTCCATTTTGGGTGGTCATCTAAAGAGAAAAAAATAAGGCATAAACGTTTCGTGGAATTTAACAAAAAGCTAAAATGGTGTAATCCTAGTTGACTCTGGATAGTTTACGAAAAAAAAAGAAACGATTTTCAAACTGGAGATAGGTCAATTTTGAGAGTACTTGGGTGAAAGCGAGCAAGATTTCAATATCTACCACATATCTACCGATCAAAGCAAAGAAAAGGTTGATCTTTTAAAGTTTCAACGAAAATTCGGGCCTTAAGCTGTTTTTCCTTCCATTTACACATTAACTGTAAGCCTGCCATTTACGCTTTAATCAATCAAGTGAAACGCAAAGCAGTGACATAAACAAGATTCAACAAAAAGCAATGCATAAATTTCTCTATTCAAAAAAGTAACGAAAATCTCTGAAGAAATAAAAAGTGAGTGCGCAAAATTTTTGATTTGAAATAAAAATGAAGGGAGATTCTGTCTGGTGCTAACGTTATTTGTTTTCGTGTGTACAGTCTGAAAATGACGGCTCTTTTATTGTTCTTTTATTGCTCGATCTTTTATTGCTCACAAAGGGAGATGTACAGATTTTTGTTGCAGAGGTTGCAATGTCGTAAAGAGGTTTTAAAAATAGAGTTGTGAATTTACGATAGTTTAATTGTGGATTACGATAGTCTTCACAAATTGACACGTTTTAGAAAACGCACTTTTGGCAGAAGCCAAAAGTCAACTCAATCAAATCAAAAGATAGCGTATTTCTTCGAATAGAAGACCGCGTAAAGGGTATCATCGCGTACTCCCGCGTAGCAGCCCTTTTTAAAATTTCTTTTCTGCATAAAAGCTTTCAATGAAGTGCTATAGAGCTGGAAAATGACTCAAAAATACCACATGAGCTAACAGATTTTTGAGCCATTTTCCAGCTCTATAGCACTTGATTGAAAGCTTTTATGCAGAAAAGAAATTTTAAAAAGGGCTGCTACGCAGGAGTACGCGATGATACTCTTTACCTGGTCTTCTATTCGAAGAAATACGGTACCGAAAACGAACTTTGTTTACAAATTTTCTCATAAAATTTGTCATTCTCAAAGTGTTCAAAATGTTATGACGTCGATTTCTGATGCAGATAAATCAAAAATCTACTTTTGCTGACTTTTTGCATCACTCAAATCAAAATCGAAACCATTCTTTGAGTCATTCTCGAGTCTCGAAGAAAAAAAAATCTTTATTAGTCTTTTGCTGATTGTGAGCTCAACAAAATCCGCAACTCTTTGGGCACTCGACGCGCATCATTTCGACATAGTTTGGATCATTGCATAAATGTTTCTTCGCCGCACAATCCGATTCAGCTGACATAAAGTTCCTGCGATCCATGCAAGTGCCTGAAATTACAGTTTAACGATAAGCTCTCCTTTTGATTGAGTTTTGTGCTATTTGAAAAAGCTAGTAAACACTTTGATTCTTTTTAAATTCATAGAGATTTGATCAAGTTTGGATTTTAAAAGAGAAAATAAGACTTTAAAGCTTTCAGAAGTCGGAAGCTAGACAGAATGGTTATTTGTTTAAAAAAACCTCACCTGGAGCCGCATCGCTTATCATCGGAATTGTCTAAATTTTGTTTGAAAATCACTTTGAAATCAATCAAATTAAACCCTGCAACATTCCCAATTGTAGGGGCAACACCAATATTGAACGCCTTTTGCCGCTGGGCACATGTTGTTGATGCACGCTGAAATTGCAGACAATCAAGCAATATGTTGTCTAATGTTCTTACGTAAAGAAATTTAGTTGTGTTTGGTGAAAGGAGAACACTTCAAAGATTACTGTAACCTATCGTAAACTACCGCCCTCTACTAGAGCACCGTAAACTACCGCACTCTACTAGAGCACCGTAAACTACCGTACTCTACTTAATACCAAATCTTCACTCACGTCCCAAATCACAAATGTTGTTCAACTCATGCGGTTTCAAGCCAAAAACCTCAGCCATATCAGCTGGCTGAAATCTGCAATTTAATTATACTATAACTTTATAAACTCACCATTGAATAGCACAAGCTCACAAGAAAACCAGCCACAAAAATAGCTTTCATTTTGCAAATAGAAATTCTCAGTGTTACTTTCAATAGAATCGGGTTTGCTTTCTTCAAGGTTTATCAGAAGTTCTCAAAATTTGGAGGAAAAAAAAAAGAAATAATGATATGAACCCCAAGAAGGTGAAAGGATAATCGGCTTAATTTTTTTTTTGCCTTTTTGAAGAAAGGGTTCATGACTGTAGGAATAAGGGAAAAAAAGAGTAAAATGATATGAAAAAAGCACGTTTGAGAGGGAAACAATGACCCTTCCATGTGACAAAATCCGGTACAGTTAGAACAGTTTCAAGCACAGTAACTAATTATTGATCAGTGATTTATGTTTTAAGTTTTGAATCTTATTGTTGATGGTTGACCTTTTGAGCAACTCAACTTTTGAGTTGCTCAAAAGTTGAGTTGCTTTGAGCGGTTGAGCTCTCTGAAATCTAAACAAACAAACATTTTCTGATGTAAACAAATATCTTTGATTCTTCATTTATAGACTTTTTGACATGGCACTTAATTAGCTATTTAGCCAATGGATCTTGGAGCAATGGAGCCAATGGATCTTGCTATGTAGCCAATGGATCTTGGAGCATGGAGCCAATGGATCTTACTATGTAGCCAATGGATCTTGCTATGTAGCCAATGGATCTTGGAGCATGGAGCCAATGGATCTTACTATGTAGCCAATGGATCTTGCTATGTAGCCAATGGATCTTGGAGCAATGGACCAATGGGGCCAATGGATGAACCACAAACCAAGCAAATCTCACTTATCAATCCGAAATTGAGTGATTAGGCTCTTCACAAGTTGTTCTTTGTGCTCTACTGAAACACTACTGAAACATACCCCTTTCTGGTTCACTTGATTGTCCATTTTCTTCTCGAAACCTAATCATAACTTCAAGAAGTGTTCTGGAATGATGAATGATTCAACAGTGCGTTAGAAAGGGTGTGTTTAGGAGCAAAAAGCACAAAGTATACCTTGGCTTCAGTTTGATTTATAAACTTCAGTTTGATTCAAGTCCGGCATTGAAAATTTCAGTGCTACTTTGCTCGGAACCCCTTGGAAACATGAAGATAACTTTAAAAAAACAAGACGATCATCTGAGAAAAATAAAAATGTTCATTTTAGTCATCAACAAGTAGAAAATCGTTTCTTTCATTGAAAAAAAAAATCATTGAAAATTATTTCCAATCTAGATCCGGGTGACGTTCACAGAGAGTTTCTATTCGATTGTTGTCCCCAAACGACATACTACAATCACAAGATGTACAGTTTATTGTTTCTATTCTATTGTTGTCCCCAAACGACACACTACAATCATTGTACAGTTTCGGTATTTCCCAAAAGTTCATCAATTTTTTCTATATTCAAATGTGATGCTCTCAAATTCGGGAAAGAAACGCGGAAATCCGACTACACAGCAGACTCAATACTTAATCCAGTATTTTCCATATTTTCCGTATTTTCCAAAGCAAATCCGACATTCTTAAAGATATTCAAAAGATTTCAAAAGATTTCCAAAGATTTCCGATATTTTTGCTCATTTACGTAGTCAATCTTTGTCTCTTTATATTTCAAAAATTGTTATTACATATATAATTTATTATAAATTATACATTATTATACATATTACATATATTACATATATAATTCCATCTAAATCTCCATTTTTTTGACGTACAAAATAATCTTTTTCAAATAAAAAGCAAGAAGTTTAATGAAAATTTGTTGATTGATGAGGATTTTCTTGGAAAATTTGTCGAATTTGGTGTCTTGTTTGACTTTTTGATGGGCTGTTTTGGCTTTTGTGATGTCCATCAATCGAATTCTAGAAGAGTTTGATATTTGATCAATTGTAGATACTTTACCAAGCATTTTTGTAGCAAAGCAAAGCTATTTGTTGACATAACGTTGAAATAAATGCTAATTTGTCTCCTCTTATAGTTTTTGCTTCACTTTTTACCTAACAAACTTTTCACAGACCAAAATAATGGAGCGTAACGAAATTGAAACTTTGCGCAATCTATTCAATTGATCTTTGAGCTTTGTTACCAGCTCTACTTTGTTACCAGCCCTACTTTGTTACCAACTCTACTTTGTTACCAGCTCTACTTTGTTACCAACTCTACTTTGTTACCAGCTCTACTTTGTTACCAACTCTACTTTGTTACCAGCTCTACTTTGTTACCAGCTCTACTTTGTTACCAACTCTACTTTGTTACCAGCTCTACTTTGTTACCAGCTCTACTTTGTTACCAGCTCTACTTTGTTACCAGCTCTACTTTGTTACCAGCCCTACTTTGTTACCAGCCCTACTTTGTTACCAACTCTACTTTGTTACCAGCTCTACTTTGTTACCAGCTCTACTTTGTTACCAGCTCTACTTTGTTACCAGCTCTACTTTGTTACCAGCTCCTACTTTGTTACCAGCCCTACTTTGTTACCAGCCCTACTTTGTTACCAACTCTACTTTGTTACCAGCTCTACTTTGTTACCAGCTCTACTTTGTTACCAGCTCTACTTTGTTACCAGCTCTACTTTGTTACCAGCCCTACTTTGTTACCAGCCCTACTTTGTTACCAACTCTACTTTGTTACCAGCTCTACTTTGTTACCAGCTCTACTTTGTTACCAGCTCTACTTTGTTACCAGCTCTACTTTGTTACCAGCTCTACTTTGTTACCAGCCCTACTTTGTTACCAGCCCTACTTTGTTACCAACTCTACTTTGTTACCAGCTCCTACTTTGTTACCAGCTCTACTTTGTTACCAGCTCTACTTTGTTACCAGCTCTACTTTGTTACCAGCCCTACTTTGTTACCAGCCCTACTTTGTTACCAACTCTACTTTGTTACCAGCTCTACTTTGTTACCAGCTCTACTTTGTTACCAGCTCTACTTTGTTACCAGCTCTACTTTGTTACCAGAACACATCCTTTCACCGGTTTTCTTTTTTTGTGTAAACTTAGCCCCTTTCCTCATTCAAATTCTGAAATCAGAAACAAGACAGAAAATCTTTAATAATAAAAATTATGTAATTTTCTTGTTTTCAATGTTGTCATTGTTTTCATTGTCGTTTTTTTTCACTTCCGTATTGAAATTCTCTTCCGTTAATCATTGTTTAATGATTAACGGAAGAGAATCAATACGGATCAATGAGAAAATGAGATTAGATTGAAAAGGGATAGTTAATTTCTTACTTGATCTTTGAAAACAACAAAACGAATTGAGTAATTCATTACAAATGTTTTTCAGAAAGAGTTTTTGATCTCATGACTCACAGGGGATTTGTTAACATCAACTTTATGGATTCTAGGGAAATGGGGAAAACAAAATTTCGACTGTTTTTAGGAAAATCAGAATATTGAGAGCTCAAAGTGAGTTTACAGGTCAAGTATTTTATTACGCACTTTATTTCATGTCCTGAATAAAGTCTCTCTATCTATCTATACGTGGATTTTGAGCCCCCCAGCCGATGCATGACCATGCCATCTTTTCTTTGATTCACAAAATCATCAAAAAAATCAACTTCATCTTGTTGTGTGAGGCAAAACCAATTCTGACACCATGAGCCTTGACAAAACAAGGAGAAAATCTCTCCAGACTCAAACCGATGACCACTTCTTTTCCGAACGCCCGGTTTATTGCACCTAGAGGCAAAAATTTTAATTCTAAATCAATTCCAAAACGATTTCATTACGCAACTTTCCGCAAAATGCAGAATCAAATCAAAATAAGTAGAAAATTTTCCACGAAAGGCAAAATCGAAAGTTTCTTTCGTCAAATTTCCCTCTCAATGGGTGAAATTTTGTAATCAAAGAGCAAAAGAGAAATTTTGTAACCAAATGATTTCTGGTTTTCTTCTGCAAATCTTCAATGGTAAGTCTAGGTAAATTAGACAAAACGAAACACAAAAGAGATTTGGAAAGAAAATCACAGTGTTTCGTTTAGCCTTTTGACTATTATGAACCTCGTGGGAGCTCCATTTTAAGTGATAAATGTCATTTCGAGCAGGATTTTGATTGAAGAAGAAAAGAAAAGTTCAAACTCGAAGTATCAAAAGAGAGGAAAAGCTTCAACTTTTGCTTATCTAATAAAAAATGATTGAATTAGTTGAATAGTACTGTATGAATAGTACTGTATGAATAGTACTGTATGAATTAGTATTGTACTGAATAGTACTGTATGAATAGTACTGTATGAATTAGTAGTGTATGAATTAGTATTGTACTGAATAGTACTGTATGAATAGTACTGTATGAATAGCTTTAAATAAGAAGTCTCAATTCTTTATCACATAATAGTTTAGTTACCCAATATCATCATTAGTTTCTCTCCAAAATAACAAATAATCTCCCTAATCTTTTCCGATTTTAATATTTCCCAAAGAAAAGAATCATTTTCTTGTGAAGAAAGTCGCCTAGGATACCGGAAAAGAAGGAAAACTGTCTTGGTTTTAAAAAAGGAAATGAAGGGGTTGATGACTTCAATGTACTCATTCCCATACTTTTTGAACTTATCAGAAATCTTTGCAATAACAAATTTCATTCTAACAGTTAGCCTAGGACAGTTTTAAAGATCTCTTTGCTTCAAAATGCTTCAAAATGCTT